ATAATAAGCCAGTTGATGTAATATGTTTTTAACACTTAGTGCATTATAGTTATATATAAGAGTGAGGTTCATTTTTGCATTGCAAATTGTTGTGTTACAAATTCTAATCGCAAACTATTGCGTTGCAGTTGTATATAAAATTGTAATAGATTGTGATATTTTTATACATGCACATAACATAATTTAGTGAATTTTATTCCCTAATACTTTGTTTTCCTCCTGTCCTCCCTCCATCTCSGTCTTCTGCTTCTATTCAACTGCCCTCTCTTCTATTTTTGTCTCTATTCTATTTGTGTGAAATATCCTTTTTAAAATTCTTCCCTCTTTCTGTATTCTGCATGTGAGAGAGCATTTGGCTATTGACATTGAGAGTCTGCCATATTTCACTTGGTATGGTATTCTCTAGGTCCATTCATTGACATGATTTAATTCTTCATGGATGAATAGAACTACGTTGTGTATATGTGTCACATTTTCTTTACCATTTATTAATTGATGGGCTTTTAGGCTGGTTCTATAATTTGTCCATTGTGGATTGTGATGCTATCAACATTGGTATGCATGTATTACTATAATATGCTGATTTTAGTTCTTTTGGTTAAATATCAAGGACTGGGATAGCTGGGTCATATGGTGACCTAGTCTTTTGAAGAATCACCATAGTTCTTTCCAAAGTAGTTGTACTAATTTGCAGTTTCATCAATAATGTATAAGTGTACCTTTTACCCCACATTCTTGCAAGCAATTATTCTAATTTGTATTGTTGCCAATTTTCATTCTGAGTGGGGTGAGATGAAATTTCAATGTAGTTTTGATTTGTATTTCCATGATTAGTAAGAATGTTGAACTTTTTTTTACTTCATGTATTTGTTAGCCATTTGTATTTTTTTCTTTTGAGAATTGTCTCTTAAGATCTTCTGCCCATTTATTAAGAGGGTTATGAGGTGTGTGTCTGTGTGTGTGTGTGTGTGTGTGTGTGTGTGTGTGTTTGTGGTATGTTTTTTGAATTCCTTATATATTTGGGTTGGTAATTCCCTATTGGAGGAATAGCTGGCAAAGATTTTCTCCCATTCTGTATGTTTTCACTTCATGTTCCTAATTGTTTCCTTCTTTTATTTAATGCTATCCAACTTATTGATTCTTGGTTTTATTTGTGAGCATTAGGCACCTATTAATAAGTTAGTGCCTRCTCCAATATGTTGGAGTGTTGCCCCTGTGTTTTCTTCTAGAAGTTTCACTGTTTTTGCTCTGATTCCTAAATCTTTAATCCACTTTGAGTTGATTTTTGTGCCAAATGAGTGGTAGGGATATAGTTTCATTCTTTACATATGGGTATCCAGTTTTCCCMGAACCATTTGTTCAAAAGGCTATCTTTTCGATGGGCATCGAGGCACACACCTGTAATTCCAGAGATCTGGGAGTYTGAAGCAGAAGCATTGCAAGTTTAAAGCCATCCTCAGTGAGGTACTAAGCATCTTAGTAGAGAGATTCTATCTCAAAATAGACTAGGGATGTAGCTCAGTGTTCAAGTACCCCTGGGTTTCATCCCCAATACAATAAACAAACAAATAAATAAATAAATAACCCAAACAACAGAAAAAGAAAAAAGGGCTATCTTTTCTCCAACTTGTGCTTTTTTTAAATTTATTTTTTAGTTGTAGTTGGACACAATACCTTTATTTTATTTACTTGTTTTTATGTGGTGCTGAGGATTGAACCCAGGGCCTTGCACGTGCGAGGCGAGTGCTCTACCRCTGAGCCACAACCTCAGCCCCAACTTCTGCTTTTATCATCTTTGTGAAGCATCAGATAATTGTATTTACATGGATTTTTCTCTGTGCCTTCTAATCTATTTCATTAGCTTTCTTATCTCTTTGTCTGTTTTTATGATGATAGCATGCTGTTTTTGTTACTATTTCTCTGTAGCGCAAATGAAAATCGAATATTATGATGCCTCTAGCCTCATTCATGTTGCTCAGGATGGCTTTGGCTATTCTGGGTCTTTTATTTGTCCACTTAAAGTTTAGGACTATTTTTTTCTATTTTTGTGAAGAACATTATTGATGTTTTTTATGGACACTGCATTGAATTTGGAGATTGCCTTTGGTGTTATGGCCATTTTCATGATACTAATTCTATGTATCCATGATCATGATAGGTATTTCCATCTCTAAGGTCTTCTTCAATTTCTTTCTTCTGTATTTTATAATTGTCATTGTAAAGGTCTTTCATCTCCTTAGTTAGATTTATTTCCAAGTAATTTTTTTAAAAATATTTTTTAAGTTGTAGATAGACACAATACCTTTATTTTATTTATTTATATGTGGTGCTGAGGATAAAATCCAGTGCTTCACATGTTCTAGGCGGGCACTCTACAAGTGAGCTACAACCCCAGACTCCCAAAGTAATTTTTTGAGGCTATTGTGGAATGGAACAGTTTACTTGATTTCTTTCTCAGTGGATTCATTATTGGAGTATGGGAGAGCTATTGATTATTTTGTGCTGATCTTGTCTTCTGCAAATTTGCTGAATTTGTTCATCAGTTCAAGAAGTCTTCTGGTAGAGACTTTGGACATTCTAAATATCKGGTCTTGTCATCAACACACAGAGATAACTTGACTTCTTCTTTTCCACTGTATTTCTTTAATTTTCTTCTCATGCCTTATGGCTCTGGCTAGTTTCAAGAATTACGCTTGAAACTAGAAGAGAATTGGTAAGAGTAGATATCCTTGTCTTACTCCTGATTGTAGAGGAAATGCYTTCAGTTTGTCTCTGTCGAGGGTTTGTCATATATGGCCTTTATGGTATTTAAGTATGTTCCTTCTAGTTTCTTCAGTGTTTTTAACATGAATGGGGGTGAATTTCATTAAAAGCCTTTTCTGCATCTGTTGAGATGATCATGTGATTTTTGTTCTTGATACCTTGTATGTGATGAATAACGATTATTTATTAACATATATTCAAAAATCTTGCATTCCTGGGATAAAACCAACTTGATGATTTTTAACCTTTTTTATATAATTTGCTAATATTTTATTAAGGATTTTTAATATGTAAATCAATGATTTTGGCCTGTACTTTTRTGTGTGTGTGATGTAGCTTTACATGGTTTTGGTATCAAGGTGATACTGGCTTCATAGAATGTTCCCTCCCTTTGTATTTCAATTCTTAGTCTTTTGAAGAATTGCCATAATTTGCAGAGAATTTGTGTTAGTTCTTCTTTAAGTGTCTTGAAGAACTTAACTGAGCATCCATTTTTGTCCTGGAATTATCTTTGTTGGAAGATTTCTATTATTACTTCAATTATGTTGTTTGCTATTGGTTTGGTTAAATGTTCTATATCCTTTTGGTTCAATTTCAGTAGGTCAAAACAATATAGATTTTGGTCATTATTTCTATTTATTTATTGAAATACAAATAATTTATTGAAATACAAATTTTCAAAATCGTCCATGATGATCTTCTATATTTCAGAAATGTCTGTAATGATATCTCTTTTTTATCTCTTAGTTTATTGATTTGAATTTTCTCTTTCTTTTGGTTAGTTTGGAAAGGGATTCCCAACGTTGCTTATCTTTATAAAGTTGCACTTTTACTTTGAATTTTTTTCTCAATTTCATTGATTTTGGCTCTGATTTTAATTATTTGGACCTAATATTAATTATTTCCTTCTTTTCTAGGACCTTGAGATATAGCATTAGATTTTATTGAAGATATTTCTTTCTTTTCTTTTAATATACACACAATACTATTAACTTTCCAATTAGAACTTCCTTCATAGTATCCCAGAGATTTGGGTACATTTTAACACTATTCTCAYTTGAGTATAGAAATTTTAAAATTTCTATTCTAATTTCTTCTACTATCGACTCCTCATTTTAAAAAGTATTTTTTAATCTTCATATGTGTAGGTGGTTTCTATAATTTTATTACTGTCAATTTCTAATTTCATTCCATTATGGCCTGATAAGATGCATAGAATTAATTTTTGTATTTCCTCAGACTGGCTTTGTGATGTTAAGTATGGTCTGTTTTTCAAAAGGTCCTGAATCTGCTGAGAAGAAAGTGGATTCGACTGTTTGAGATGAAATAGTCTAGATAGATCTGTTAAGTCCATTAAATGTATGGTGTTATTTAGGTTGGAAGTATTTTTATTGATTTTTACATCTGGATGACCTATCTATTGGTGAGAGGAATGTGTTGAAATCACCCAGTATTCTTGTACTGGGATCTATTTGAGATTTAATGTCAAGAAGTGTTTGTTTTATGTAGTTAGATGCACTGACAATTGGGGCATGAATATTTGCTATTGCTATATCTTCTTGTTGGATTATTCCCTTTACCAATATGTATTGACCATTTTTATCTCTTCTGGTTAAGCTTTTTCTTGAAATCTGTTTGTCAGAGATGAGAATAGCTAGTCCAGCTTGTTTTAGGACTCCATTCATGTAGAATATAGTTTTCCACCCTTTTACTTTCAACTTGAAGATGTCTTTGCCTATATGATGATTCTCTTGCAAACAGGATATAGTTGAAACTATTTTTAAAATCTATTCTACAAATCTACATCTTTTTTTCATGTGCTTAGATCACTTATGGTCAGTGTTATTATGAATAAATGTTTGTTATTTTCTGCCATATGTTTTTCTTATATTTAATTTTGTCCTAATTTTAACTTAATTGCTATCCTAGAGAGTCACACATTTGAGACCTCTGTGATTTGTGTTTTAGTTCTTTTGTGTGTAACATATCTTTATGTATATTTGTAGTGCTAGCTCTGTGGTCATTATTCTTTCAGTTTATCCTCATCATTTAAAGTTTCTATTTCTTCTTTGAAAGAAGAAATATTCTGTAGGATAGTTTTGCTGGGTATAGAAATTGCAATTATTTTCTTTCAGAGCTTGGATGATCTCATTCTAAGCCCTTCTTTATTTCAGAGTCTGAGTTCAGAATTCAAAAGTTACTCTTATTAATTTATTTTTAAATGTAATTTCACATTAAAAAATATGGACAACTTCATGAATTTATGTGATCCTTGCACAGGGGCCATTGTAATCTTCTTTGTATTTCAGTGTTAGCATTTGTGCTGCTAAAGTGAACACTAATTTAATATTTTTTAAGAGATGCAATTATACTTAATTGTTTCTTGATCCTGAGAGATCTCTATCTCTATGTGGTAAAAGTCTCCATATTAATCCTTAATTATTTCTGTTATTCACATTTATTGATAAGAATGTTCTGTATCATCTGTCAAAGACAAAGGCCTGATAGGTGGCTATGAATCTGCTTTTACCTTGCTTGTTTTATTAAATCACACATCAGCTTGATTGTCCACCCAGCTGCAAATTTTGAAGCTTTCTCCTCTAACCTGCCTTAAAAGTCTGCTTCAGCATGGCCACTCTTTTCTTCAGGRACAATTAATTATTTCCATCTTTCAGGATTTGCCTTGCCATGACTTCAAGGACCAAATTTTCTTTTGGCATTTGAAAACTGAAAAAAAAGACCAAACATAATATTCRGGGTTACTTTTACCCAAGTAAATCTTGATGTTCCTACTCTGATTTGGTATCTTATTTTGTAAGAATATTCCCAGTCTCCAGGTATACCACTTCCTTTAGGTTTAGGTTTCTCCTAGGCTTCTGTAGTCTTGAAAGTAATACCTTTAAACTCAACCTGTGGTCATCATCTCCTAATTCCTTCTCAGATTGGGTCATTTTGGGGAACCAAAGGTTTTGTCTGCAGGTGATAGTGTAAAATTTCTTTGCTTGTAAAAGTTTTATTTTGCTTCTATAAGAAATTATCGCAGACTTGGTGGCTTGAAACAGTGGAAGTCTGTTTTGCCCAAACTTTGAAGACAAAAGTCTTAAATCAGAATTATTAGGGCAAAATCAAAGTGCTGGCAAGGCTGTGTCTCATACAAAAGATATAGAGGAGAATCTTTTCTTTGCTTTTTCCATTTTGGTGGCCACTAGTATTCCTTGATTGATGGTGGCGACATTCCTTCCATTTCTGTGTACTCTGTCAAATGTGCCTCTCTTTTTTATCATCACATTTGTGATTGCCTCTAGGGTATACAAGAAAACATAGGACAATTATACTATCCCCAAATTACTCATTAAATCACATCTGAATAGCCTTTGCCATATGAAGTAACAGTTGCAGGTTTCAAGTATTAGGACTTTATGTCTTTGGTGACCATCACCTAGCTTATTATAGTGCTCAATTTCTAGAATTAAATGACACTAGGTCTAAGTCCCATCTCCAGAACTCATTGGCTGCATTAACTTCAATGATTATGCAGATTCTCTGAATTTTAATTTCATTATCTGAAAAATATGAGCATAAGAGTACAGATATTAATGGTTATTGTCAGCTATAAAAAATGAATTTTAAAAAAGCCCTACAAACTCACTATCAAAAAACATGTCTTATAATGCAGTGTCAAAGGTTAGTTATCACWTTGGGATATAATTTTGAAAGGATATTGGATTAAATTGCAGAGAGCCTTAAATATTATGCTAAAGAGTATAAAATGGAAGGGCACATTCAGAAGCTGTTGCTGGATGTGAATCAAATGATGAATAGAAATGAATTAAAGATTTTTTTTTCTGGTGTTTGCCTGTAGACAGGACTGAGAAAGAAAGAAAAAAAATGTGGAAATTATTGAGTGGAGTTCATGTGAGTGAACTAGRGAGAATAAAATCTTTGGAAAGCAAGAAATTTGTATGTCTCTCTTGACCACAGTCTCTAAGAGAGCTAAGGGAAAGTCTCTCTCTCTTTTTTTTAACCATTGTAGTCTTGGTACCTAACCAAACAAATTCTGTTTACAGATATCTGTTAATAAACTATTTAAAATCCATTTTAAGTTGTTGATATTGATGTCCCAAATCAGCAGAAGGAATTTAGTATCAAAAGATTGTGCATTGGTCAGGTTTTGGTCAAGAAAACAGGCACCAATCTTAAGAATTCTAGTCAGGAAAAGATTTTAAATGCAGGGGATTAAGGTGTTTTCAAAGTCTTTGAAAGGATTGGGAAAGCAATGTCAAAGAAGCTGCCAAGAATCTCAGAAAATCAGAAAATTGAAAGGATGGCAGAGAACTATTTATGATCTCATTTCTAGAAGCAACTGAATGGAGAGTCAAAAGAATGCCTAGAAATGGCTACAAGTCTCACTCCTGTCAGAGACCACTTGCCTGCCTGCCAGTATCCCAAAAGCAAAAGTAGCTTTTCTTTCATCTTCCAGACCATGAGTTTCAATCCTTATTGAAGGATTTTAGTCAGAACCCTGTTAAGGAGGGACTCTGGGAAATGTAAGTTCACGTTTTTCAAACATTAGGGTACCAGAGGGTRTGTCAAAGGGTAAGGATGGCTCTGGGTTCCAGCAGAGGATTTAAAACAGAGAATTGTCTCTGTAATGAGCTGGAGGTATATTTGAGACTGTAAATTGAGAATCTTAAGGGGGAAGCCTGAAAACATCTATGGAACAAGATTGGAATTTGCCCTATTTTCTCTAGATTATCCAAGATGAGACTATTTGTTTGACTTATTGTGATGAAAGTTTCAACATTACAYTTAAAAAAGAACTTTTTAAAATATCTGTAATGAGAACTATGTGATGTGAGATGGGCTTCTTTAGGTCTGAATTCTGTCCAAATAGAAGATAAGTGATTGAGAATACTTACATAGAATTTCCTGCTGTGTTTGTAGCGAATCACCTCCAATATACTGTGATTTATTTTCAGGCCTAGTGGAAGAAGGAGGGGGTCGCTACTCAAGAAATTCACAGGAAGAAAAATGGTTGTATAATTTTTTTTAAAAAAAAGTTATCACTATAGGGAAAGAAGTAAAAGTCACTTTTATTTCTGAGATTGGAGTCATATTATTATTTTAATTATTTATTTAGTACTGGGAATTGAATCCAGGGGTACTTTACTACTRAGCTACAACCCCAGGACTTTTATATTTTTATTTTGAGACAGGGTCTTGCTAAGTGACTCAGGGCCTCAGTACATTGCTGATGCCAGCATTGAACTTGCAGTCACCTGCCCCAGCCTTCTCAGTCACTGGAATTACACTCTGCTGGCATCATATTTTGATGGCAGTAGAAGACAGTGTGAAAAATAATATGGATGGAAATCATGTCTTAGGAAAAATAACATTGAAGATCTGCCCAATAAATGCCATCATATTAAGGTTCAAAGCCACTGAATGTATCAGAATTAAACCACACGAGACCTTTGATGAGAACTTGCTGAAGATAGTGGAGGAGTAYTATAATCAGCATGCAAGGGAGAAAGTCATATAATTTAAATTTTAGAAAGTTTGCCAAGTAAATGCTCTATGCAAATGGASGCAAGGGTGTTGAGGTGGAGAGACCCTTTTTTTTCTTTACAGTTTTAATTTGTTTTATTAATACACCTTATGAATATCCTCACTTTTTAAATATTTAGTATTAAATCCAACAGCAAAATGTTCTGGATGTATTCATCTGAGTTTATTTGTTTCTCCTACTAGGATTTTATAAACATTCACTGACTTTAGTTCTTTTTCTTTTGTACTGTTCTCAGATTCCAGCACTAAGAAAAAATGTTTTTGTCATAAATTTGTTTAACAGAGTTGCTACCTCAGCGTCCATTTTTAGTCCCAACATAATGGGTCTGAATGAATTAAAACTTTCTGATGTGGTGGTGAGGTGGCCTGCTCATTCCTCACCTCACTGACCCCAAACCACACACCCATGGCCTCCAAACACAGTACAACCTAACAGTTAACACCGGGGTCATGTAAAGAACTTCTGCCCTCACGTATGTGCTCTTTAAACTAGGGAATGCACATGCCCCAGGAAAGGCAAAGGGATAATGACCATGGACCTTAAGAAGAGGTGTCATCCCACAGTTCCTTGGTCTGTCATTCCCCCTGTGCTTCTGGAGGGTGTCTTGGACACTGCATCCCCACTCTCCATACCCCGGAAGGCACACTGCCCTCTCTTTGTGGACCTATGAATAATAAAACTGCCTCTATTATTTCATGGTTTGGTTTTGTTGCTTCCTCAAGGTCTCACCAGACTGACACACAGAAATGAACTCTTCTAACAGTCAGGGCTCTCCTAGAGAGTGGCTATTTTGGTGGGAATAAACTGGAAGCAGATCGGACAAGAGCTACAGAAAACCTGCGAGTATAAAGCAGCTTCCTGGGAGAAGGAGACCTGGTCAGACACTTAGATGTTAGGCCCTTCCCCAGGATAAAGAAGTGCCCTGTAGTTATGGTTCAGGTATTAGGTGTCCCAGGAAAGCTCTTGAGTGAAACAATGCAAGAAAGTTAAGAGGTGAAACAAGGACATTATGAGAACATGGTAACTGYAGGCATGTTRGGTGTGGCTGGGGGTRGGYCACTGGGAGCCTAYCTTTGGGGTTTATATTTTGTGGCCTGGAGAGTGAAGCTGTGTCTCTCAACTCCCTGGTGTCATGTTCCGAACCACTTCCCTCTGCCACACCTTTCTGCCATGATGGTCCTGCCTTACCTCAGGCCTCAATGAGTAGTAGAGCCAGCCATCTCTGGACTGAGACCTCTGAAACCATGCAAGCCAAATAAACATCCTYTTCTGAAATGGTTTGCGTCAGATCTTTTGGTCACAGCACAGAAAAAAAGTGACTAAAATACCTATGAAAAATACATTGTCAACATTCATGACCATGTCCCCTGTAGCCCCATCTGGGCAGGGCTAGAGTTTGTACCCATTTCTAAAGGAATCTAATTACAGGAAGATAAAACATCTTTGCAAGCATTTCCCTTGAGTTTGCGTTATCAAGTGTCTTCCTGGTTAACTAAACTCACCTTGTTTTAAAATCTGCAAACTTCTTAGATAATCATATTTTTAATGGAGACATTTCCTTACCTGCTCTTGCTAGACTTAGTTCTACATTCCATTTGGGCATTTTAACCTTTATTATAAACATTACTCATTTAATTTAAGGTTTCCTATCACCAAGGATCACTATAAAAGTGGATTTTAAAATTTCTGTCCTTTTAAAAGGAATTCACTAAATTGRATTTAAGCTTCTCTATGGATTTTTAGATAATAAAATAAATTGAACAAAAGTTA